AGGAAAATGCAAATCAAACCCATAATGAGATCACAACTGTCAGAATGTCCAGAATAACAAAGACAAAAACAGCAAGTGTTAGTAAAGATGAAGAAATCCTTGTGCATTGTTGATGGGAATGTAATTTGATATAGCCACTATGGAAAATGGTATGGAGCTTCCTTAAAAAGTTAAAAATAGAAATACCATATGTTCCAGTAATTCACCCACTTGGTATTTACCGAAAGAAAATACATCACTAACTTGAAAAAGATATATACCTCTAAGTTTACTGCAGCATTAACAATAGCCAAGATATGGAAGCAACCTAAGTGTCCATCAGTAGAGGAATGGATTAAGAATGGTGAATGTGTGTGTGTGTGTGTGTGTGTGTGTGTGTGTGTGTAATGGACTAATACTCAACCATAAAAAAAATGAGATCTTGCCATTTGAGACAACATGGATAGATCTGACCTAGAGGGTATTATGTTAAGTGAAATAAGAGAAAGTCAAGTACCATATGATTTCACTTATTTGTCAAACCTACAAAAACAAAACAAATAGGGGCACCTGGGTGGCTCAGTCAGTGGAGCGTCCAACTTCAGCTCAGGTCATGATCTCCAGTTGGCGAGTTCGAGCCCCGCGTCAGGCTCTGTGCTGACAGCCCAGAACCTGGAGCCTGCTTCTGATTCGGTGTCTCCCTCTCTCTCTGCCTCTCCCCCGCTCATGCTCTCTCTCGGTCTCAAAAATAAAGATAAACGTTAAAAAACAAAAACAAATGCAGAAACAGACCCATAAATACAGAGAACTAATGATTGCTAGAAGGATGGGAAATAGAAAAATGGAATAGAATAGAAGTAGAGTAGAAGATACAGGCTTCCAGTTACGGAATGAATAAGCTACAGGAATGAAAAGTACAGCTTACTGAATATAGTCAATGGAATTGTAATAGTTTCTATGGTGATGATGGTACCTACACTTATAGTAAACAGAGCATAACATATAGAGTTGTTGAATCACTATGTTGTACACCTGAAACTAATATAGCATTGTATGTCAAGTATATTTTAAAAATATTTTAAAATATTAAATATGAATTATTGATATATATTTTCATTTAATTAGAATTTATTTGTAACTTAAATATGCCCCCAAACCTTAAAAAAATAATTCAAAGATTGGTTTAAGTGGGTCTTAATTTTTTTTTTAATATCTTTTTTTAGCGTTTATTTATTATTGAGAGACAGAGACAGAGCATGAGCATGGGAGGGGCAGAGAGAGGAGGAGACACAGAATCCAAAGCAGGCTCCAGGCTCTGAGCTGTCAGCACAGAGCCCGACACAGGATGCGAACTCACAAACTGCGAGATCATGACCTGAGTCGAAGTCAGATGCTTAACGGACTGAGCTACGCAGGCACCCCATGGGTCTTAATTTTTCTAACATTGTATGTTAACCTGAAATGTATCTATCTCTTCCTCAGATTTTCAGAGTGAACATAAAGTAGGTCTGCATCATTTTGTTAAAATGTGGGTGCTTATTTTAAAATGACTTTGTCAAGTTTTCTGATTATTTCCTTTCACACTTGATATTCAAATCATTTTCTCTGGAAGTATCTATTGTGTCATTATTTGTGTTTGTTTTGTTAACAGGTCCCACTCTTCCAGAACCATACTTTTTATTGGCTTTCTGATTTAAGCAAATCTCCAAGAATATTTTCCTGGACTTCATTCAATTCAACATCTTCATAAATTTTGAGCTTTTACTTTACATTGATTGTTGTTTGGGTTAAGCTAAGCCAGTCAAGTATGACATTGTCTGAATGAGGCAGATAAGAATACTAATGACAAACAAGGAAGGGGCTGGTTGAGTAGATACTAGTTATGTAATTTGATCATTTGTGAATATTTTAATTTTTTTGCTTTCCTACTCAACCTCTTAACTTTGAGGATTTAAATAGCAAAAATAATTCCTTCTAGTTTTTATGTATAATACTTAATCCTGATCCTGTAAATGGAAAAGAAACCAAGAGAAGTCAACTTTGTTCCAGAAAAATAACAAAGGTGTGAATGGCTTCTGTAATACTGAGCTATCTAGAATTTGCCTATGTTGGGGCACCTGGGTGGCTCAGTCAATTAAGCATCCAACTTCAGCTCAGGTTGTGATCTCACGGTTTACGAGTTCAAGCCCCACAGCAGGCTCTGTGCTGACAGTTTGGATCCTGGAGCCTGCTTTGGATTCTGTGTCTCCCTCTCTGCCTCTCCCCCACTCACACCCTGTCTCTCTCGCTCTCAAAACTAAAGAAACATTAATTTTTTTTAAAAAAAAAGAATTTGCCTATGTTAATAATCATCTGAAAGAAAGTGAAAGCCATGTCTTGGTTTCGTAACCATACTCCTAAGCCAGAAGTAGAGAATTATCTGTCAACAGCAGTGTTAGAATAAAATCACAATATCTTTTACCCCAAGAGGAACTGGAGCCCTAGCCCCCTCCTTTCTCAATTGCAGTTAAAGGGGTCAATCACCAACTTGGCTTGTCAGCAAAAACATCACAAAATATTACACCTTCTAGGGGCGCCTAGGTGGCGCAGTCGGTTGAGCGTCCGACTTCAGCCAGGTCACGATCTCGCGGTCCGGGAGTTCGAGCCCCGCGTCAGGCTCTGGGCTGATGGCTCAGAGCCTGGAGCCTGTTTCCGATTCTGTGTCTCCCTCTCTCTCTGCCCCTCCCCCGTTCATGCTCTGTCTCTCTCTGTCCCAAAAATAAATAAACGTTGAAAAAGGAAAAATTAAAAAAAAAAAAAAAATATTACACCTTCTAATAAAATGATAATCAACCACATGCTTTGGCATAACTGAGGAAAATCCTTTCTATTTTCTTTTGTAATGATTCTTACCAGGATTCTTAAATATTAAAGGAACAAAACTTCCCAGATTTAAAGTCGGCTCATCCATAGACCTGAACCCATTATGTCATGGGATTTTTTTTTATGTTTATTTTCAAGAGACAGAGAGAGAGAGAGGGAGAGCACACAAGCTGGGTTGAGCAGAGGGAGAGGGAGACACAGAACCAGAAGCAGGCTCCAGGCTCTAAGGTGTCAGCACAGAGCCCCATGCGGGGCTCGATCCCACCAGCCATGGGATCATGACCGGAGCTGAAGTTGAACACCCAACCGACTGAGCCACCTAGACTCCCCCTTTAATTTTTTAAATGTCACGTTAGTTTCTTAATCCACGCAGAACTTTCCGGAAAAAACCTGGTTGCTATGAATAATTTGCTTGAATGCTTGTTCAGTAATTCCCGTTTGCAAGGGTGACATCCCTACATCTCTCCATTTCAGCTTGCTATGTCACACTCATGATTTTGTAAACAGCACGACAAATGGAGGCTAACTCCTGCTAGAAAACCAAGGCTTTGAAAGGCCATGGCAGAAGTGGAAATACGTCTCTCTCAAATGTCAGAGTTCTTATGTGCAAGTCTTGTCTCTGTCCTAATTAAATTACAAGCAAAGCTGTTTCTGTCTCATGGGACATCTGCCTCCTCGCTGCCAGGAGCCCTCTTTTCCCTCCAGGGTAGAGGGTGGAGGAGGTTGGGTCTTGACCTGTCTCCACCAGGCCTCAAGAAGAACTAACAGGATAAAATAACATCCCTCATTTCAGTTCATGAAATGAATACCATTATCTGAAAAGTTATGTTTAGGAGAAATCCGTGAAAATATCCTCAAGGTAGGGCATCACTATAGTTTTGAGCATGCCTTTAGCTATGTTGACAGTGAGACTTATTCAAGGATTTTAAATGTATTGCTCATCACAAATGCATTAATTATAGCAATTGCTTAACAAAAGGTAAGAATTCTAACAATGAACCTTTTGGTATATAATAAAACCTTAATAATCTAAGAATAATGGATGCAAAGCATCTTAAAAATCTTTAACTCAGGGGCCCCTGGGTGGCTCAGTCAGTTAAGCATCTGACTCTTGGTTTCGGCTCAGGTCATGATCTTGGGGTTTGTGAGTTCGAGCCCCAGACTGGGCTCCCCACTGACAGCATGGAGCCTGCCTGGGATGCTCTCTCTTCCTCTCTCTCTGCCCCTCCTTCACTCTCTGTCTCTCAAAACAAATAAACTTAAAAGAAAATCTTTAACTCTTCTATGTTAAATAAATTGTTTTAAAGTAAAAATTTATAAAAAAACAAATAAAAATTTATAAAATGTTGTCAAAAGGTAGACCTATCTGATTTGGTTTAATTATATGCAATAAAAAAATCTTTTGACATCTAAATGTTTTATGTAAATATAGAAGCAGCTTTAGCAAGACCTAAAGCAGTATTCCAAGTCTAGTTTCTTTGCAAAATTGTACTGATCATTTACTTGCTGTACACTTCTAAAAGAAACTTTAGTGTTGAAAAATACCAGACTGATTTATACTAATACCCATTTTTCAAAAAAATGAAAAGATTTTGCCTATGTTAATAATCAACCTGATGGAAGAAAAAGCATTCACCTGAAATGAAAAACAAAATATGCAACACCCTTACTGTGTCACTTAAAAGTTGAACTCCCCTGTCCAAAATTTCCTTTCTTCTAAATAAAGCGGTTTGTAATCTGGAGTCATTGGCATCACAATCTAGGATATTTCCACGTCAGAATTGGTGGGACCTAAAATCATTTGTTCACCAACGGCACAAAGTCAAAGCATTCGTAATTCCCAACTTTTGACACAACTGCAGAGAAACTTCTACTACATGTGTAAGATAGACTTAAAATTGATTTTTCCAAAAAGCACGTGTTGGGAGGTCTTCACCGTGTTTCCACAATGAGAGGTGATTGCCCGGACAAGGAGTCCTACTCAGCCACTCATTTCACATCAGGTTGCTTTTTGGTATTTCTGTGAACGGATGTATTTGATTAAAGGTGTCGGTGGCTTCTCACAAAAGAGTAAGTGAATCAAGTCAACAGTTTAGTGCTCATGTTCAAAGTACCGGAACAGAAATTGTTCCTGTTAATTTTGTGATTATTTTTTCTAGGACCCACCGATCTCAGCATGAAGAGGCAGTTGGCGACTAGCTCAGGATCCTCCAGCAGTTCAAGCTCCAGACCCCAGCTGAGTCCAACCGAAATCAATGCCGTGAGACAGCTCGTTGCAGGATATCGAGAATCAGCTGCATTTTTATTGCGTTCTGCAGATGAACTGGAAAATCTTATTTTACAACAGAACTGAGTCAAATGACGTTCCTATTCACTGAGGTCTAAATTTGCAGTTTCCACTAATGACATTTTGATTTCCCAGCAGAGATGCTTCTGGTCTTACTGCACAGTCTTAAGAGAAATACTTCCATTATGCCACATTGTCCTTGATCCCTAAAGTGATGTGTTAAGGTGCTTCAAAGGAAGTCTGACCTCTGAAGTACTTGAGATACAGTAATGTGTCCAGCTCACTGCTTTTTGTTTTAGTTTGTCAGCATAAATATCAGGGGCAAATAAAGGCTGTATATTCCTAATTCAAGGATAAAACAGAAGAAACATGTGGTATTGATAGTTCAAGATTCAACTGAAATATTAGTGGAATCTGCTACTGACTTATTGGACTGAAAGTTGCAGTATCTGGCAAAAAAAAAAAAACAAAAAACAAAAGCCAAATTTCTTGTTGCTACAGGATATAACAACAATGAGACGGATCTTGTATTTTAAAAAAAATATATATGTAGTTTTTATAAAAAGAAAACTTGTTTTTCATTCAAAATGGTCATTTTTACTTTGGTAACTTTTTCATAGGTCCTAAAAAAAAACTGTTTTGAAAAACTACTGTAAGTACCTTTTCCACATCCCTTTGCCTTCTCCTCTTTCCAAATTCTTTCTACAAAAATAACGATGCTGGAAAACAAATCCTTGCTACGTTCTTTAAATCGTCACATCAGGAAGTACTTCCAAGAGAAGCCTGCGTTTCTGCACCCGTGCTCATCAACCCACTCAACATTGCAGTTGCGCCATAGCGGTTTTCATCACAGAATTTTTTAATATTAAAAAAGACATATCATTGAAAAAAAAAAAATATCACACCTTGGTTCCTTACAGCTGCTTGCCCGGGATTGACGCTGCTGTCTTATAGGCATGCCTCCAGCAGCAATGGGATGTAGATGGCTGAATGTTAAGAGGTTGCAAGTGACAATCTGAAAATGTGCACTCATGTGGTTTTTCTTTCTCGGTTTCAGAAATCGTTTCCAAAAAAAAGACCGTTCCCCTCTCCTGATAGGATTTGTATAATTTACAATTCTAGGTGAAAATGATGTAAAGAACTCTCAGTGGATGCAGCTGCAACTTTAAATGAACTGCCCCATCCTATCCACCCCCCCCCCTTTGTCCTTCTTTCTTATTTTATAGTGTTGGATACACATGAATGGTGTTTTCTTTGTGCACTGAGGCAAGCTTATTTTTAAAATACTTAGGGAGGAGTACATCTGTTTATGCTTCTTGTACGATTCTTTTTCTGTTGTTTAGCTTTGGTTGGATTACAGATTCTCTGTGCATTCCTGGATTTGCCTTATTTCATGTAGAACTTATGTCATTCCATTTTTGGTAATGAGTTTAAGGCATCAGTGATATTTCTTACCTACTTGTTACATATAGTTTTTCAAGTAATGACTGTGATTGTGACCAAGTAATGTGCACTTTTTCTTGTAACTGTGGACATTGCTATGCTTTTTTCTTCTAGTGTTTCTAGAATTACTGTTCCTTACAGTTACGTAAGCAAAACAAACAAAAAAACAAAAAAAAAAAGAACTTTTGTGATACTGTTGGTGAATATAATGTGAAAATCTTATTGAAATATGAGTATTTTGGAAATACATAGATGCACAAACATCTTTTAAGGTGTGGATTTAGAGTTTGCTTATTTAAATGAAAATTCAAAACTCGAGGGCTGGTATAATTTTCTCTGTTTTGTTTGGTTTAATAAACAGATTTCTGTGTTAAAACAATGATTGTGAAAAATTATAAACTTTCGAATGATACAATACTTAACTTTTAGCAGTTTACCTCTAAAATATGCAATGCTATTTTGTACCTAACATTCAGCACAAAAAGGACAGTTTACCCTTTTATCTTAAGATTATCCCCAAACCCCCTTGAGTCTCAACATAGTCTAATAAAGAATTTATTCTAAGACAGGGTAAAGCAAATTAGCAAACCAAGAATATTTCACTTGATCATTTAAAACTAAAATTTTTTTTATTATTATTGGGGTGCCTGGTGGCTGGGTTGGTTAAGCGTCTGACTCTTGATTTTGGCTCAGGTCATGATCTCACAGTTACTGGGATCAAGCCCTGTGTTGGGCTCTGTGCTGTCAGCACAGAGCCTGCTTGGGATTTTCTCTCTTCCCTTCCCCTCCTCCATCTCTCTCAAAATAAGGTCTTTTTTTTTTTTTTTTTTTAAGAAAATGCTTATTTTTGTGAGAGTGAAAGAGTGCAAGTGGGGGAGGAGCAGAGGGAGAGGGAGAGAAAGAATCTTAAGCAGGCCCCCCTGGAGCCCAGGAAACTATGACCTGAACTGAAATCAAGAGTCAGACGCTTAACCACCTGAGCCACCTAGACCCCCCAGGTATTTATTTTTTTATTACTCATGAGTGAGCCATCTGGCTCTTTTAGTCACTCCTGATTTAACAACTTAGGAGAAACATTTGCCTGCTTGAGGTGCCAGTTTCCTGCTTTGGGTTTCCTTGCAATGGTCTTTGAAGATTTTGACAGGGTTGCTGTTTCACAAAGTAACAGGTTTGAGCTCTGCATCCACATAAAAAAATCCTTGATGGTGATTAATGAAGCAAACGCAGTAGAGGAGGTAAGTTTCAACACGGTTCTCTTGTCTTCATTACATTTCCACCTTCAATTTTAAGTCCCAGGCCTGCCCACCAAGAACTAGAGTCCCCCCAAAGTTTCTGCTTTTTGAACATTTACCTACAGCACGAGGGTCCTGGGACTCCCATTATTTCTCTGGGAGAGGTCAGAGGCCAAAATCAAGCACTGTTTTTCCTTTGCCTTTAAGACTTGTACCTAAAAACACCCTGATCCTCTTTTAAACTCTGTCGCAGCAGAATAAAGAGATCACATCCCCCTTTAGAAAGCATTTTGGAGAAACTAGGTTCATATTCTCCTTCGACTGAGGTAATAGAACACTATCATCAGAAACACAGGTCAAACACAAGTTTCGGCCACTTCTACCAGTTAACTTCCCTGACAACAGCAGTCCCTTGTTACATGTGTTACTTTTTCACACTTCCTAAGAAAACAGGCCTTGAAATGACCAGAGAACACCAACACAAGCAGTTACTGAATTTTCTTAAGTTGTGCAGTTCAAGCAACAATACTCAGTAAGAAAGGGCATTCACATATGAGGATAGCCACCACTTCACTCGTTGTTTCTACAGAGAGAGGCATTTTGTTTCCTCTCCCTCTCACAGTAACTGTAGATGATGAGGACAGTCACAGTCCCTTTTACAAAGAAAGCTCGAGAAGTTGAAGTGACTCACCAGGAGTGCAGACACGAGTGAAGGCTGCAGCTGTCATTGGAAGCCAGGCATACCTGATGCCGGAGGTCCGTGCCTGGTCACGGCCGGCGGTCTGCTGAGTCTGCTGCCTCCCAGGTACCGAATAATTGTATTCCACCCTGTGACTTGGAACCAGGTCTTTGTATTCAAGTTTAGCAGTTTTGTGTGGTAGATAAGTAATAGTTACTGAAAATGCTCTTGACATCAAATAAAGCATTTGACTTAACACCAGGAGTTTTATCCTGCTTAGAGAGGTTTAATTTCCTTTAAGTTACGTTCTCTGCAAATATAAAAAGCAACAATAAAACCCAGCACTAATGAAAATCAAATACACGAAGAAGGAGAGACCGTGGCTTTTTAACAGTGATGGTATCAGCAGTAAATCTGGTCAAGAAACATGAAAGTCATTATCCGTCTAAACCCATAAAGGTTAAGTTCTTTCACCTGAGATTTTAGTCTTAGCCTATACATAGTTGGTTATCCTGCTACTGTAATTAATCTTTACACCATTATTACAGATATCAGAGTTTAATCTTTGCCAAAAAATATTTTCTAATTTCATATTGCTCTGGTTTCAAACTTCATTTAAAAAAATCCAAAAATAGGGGCGCCTGGGTGGCTCAGTCGGTTGAGCATCCGACTTCGGCTCAGGTCACGATCTCGCGGTATGTGAGTTCGAGCCCCGCATCGGGCTCTGTGCTGACTGCTTAGAGCCTGGAGCCTGTTTCAGATTCTGTGTCTCCCTCTCTCTCTGACCCGACCCCGTTCATGCTCTGTCTCTCTCTGTCTCAAAAATAAATAAACGTTAAAAAAAAAAAAAATTAAAAATCCAAAAATAAAGCAGGGAGACACATTGAAAATATGTTAATATGTTTGAGATGCAGAGATTTGGCAAAGTAAGGATTGAGCACACGCTAACCTCCAAGAGTTTACTGTATTAATTGGAGCTCATATCCACTCTTAAAGATTTTGAAGGGAGATAAAACGCTGTGAGTAACTGATCTCCAGTGTTAAAGTCAATGATATTCAACATTTAATTTTGTTTTTGGTTTGCAAAAGAAACTTGGGAAATAAGACAGAAGAAAAATAGTCCATAGAAAACCATTACCTAAACAAGTATATAAGTATTTTCGTGCAATTTTACTGTCATATAGTGTTACCTCAGCTGCCTTTCTAACCTAACATACCATGATTATTTCCCACATTACATGTCCTTTTTTCTTTTTAATGTTATTTTTGAGAGAGAAAGAGACAGAGCATGAGCCGGGGAGGGGCAGAGAGAGAGAGACAGAGACGCAGAATCCAAAGCAGGCTCCAGGCTCTGAGCTGTCAGCACGGAGCCTGACACAGGTCTCAAACTCACGAAGCTGTGAGATCATGACCTGAGGCAAAGTCAGACGCTTAACCGACTGAGCTACCCAGGTGTCCTACATGTCCTTCGTAAACATTATGTTTTAATGACTGTGTACTAACACATTGTCTGACTGTACCTGTATTAGTGTTCTATTGGTGCTGTAACAAATTACCACAGACAACAGAAATTTATGACAAATAGATTTTAGTCCATGAGACTTCCAACCTAAGTTTAAGTAAAAGTGTTCCTCTCTAGAGGCTCTTGAGGAGAATGTTGCCTTGTCTGCTTTGCTTCTAAGGGCCCTCGTTGACTGGTGGCCCCTTCTTCC